AACGGAACACACGGCAAGTGAACGGAGTGAAACGGCGGCGAAATAATGAAGTTTATGGCTAATTTGGTAATAGTGATTTTGTGTGTAAAAATAATGAAGTCCACAGAGAGAGTTATTCTTAATTTGGTTCTTATTCATATCTCTCGAGTCTCCTGCAATGGGACAAAAAGCAATCTCTACCACTCCCCCACTAATGAAGGTATTTACGGATCTCTTTATTTAACGGGTTAATAGGTAATTAAGAAATTTTTTTGATTAAAAATCTTTAAAACCAAAAGAAGTGGATAAAAAAAAGCTTGAAGGCCAATAGTGTGTCGCCTTCTTCTTCTTCTTCTCCTCCTCAATACTCTGTGATGAATTTCTCCAGAGTAAACCTCTTCGATTTTCCTCTTAGACCGATTTTACTTTCGCATCCCTCTTCTATTTTCGTTTCTAAACGTAAGTTCTCTGTTACAAATTGATAAACGTAGTTTACTGTTTGTAATGCCCGGCTAGTAGAAACATAACCTAAGACTAGTGGGCATACAGGTTTTGTTGAGTAGAAACTAGAAATTTGGACTAATTTATTAAATTGAATTCTGGGTTTTGTCTTCCGTCGCAGCAAAGAGTTTTTTTCCTAATTGCTTTTTTTTTTTTTTTTTTTCATTACAGAGCTCGTGTCCATGAAATTGTCATTATTTTGGTCTCTTAAAGTATAATTCTTAATAATTTTGTTTTATGATTGCTTTTATAGAATCATGTTTTCAGTATCCTCTATAATTCAGAATTTCTGGCATTACCTTTGCTTTTTTATAAGTTTTAGATAAAACTTGTTTTAGAGCACACTAATTTGATGGATAAGAGCTTTCTTTATTCTCTTCGTGTTGCTTTGATTTTGTATCTGAGTTTCTTTGTATTGATCTCGTGTGGGTGTTAATTATTTCAATAATGGGATTTGCAGGTTTTGTTACCAGAACCTCTGCTGCTGTTTCTCCTTCTACCTTGCTTCCCAAATCAACTCAGTCAGCTCAGATTATTGCCAAGAGCTCATCAGGTTTTTGGACTTATTGTTTCCACACAATCTGTATTTGTTTCTTCCATTTCTGTTTTTTAGGATCATTGAATTTGGGGCACTGAAATATCTTTACTATGTGGATTTCAGTATCACTACAGCCGGTGTCTGAGGATGCTAAGGAGGATTATCAGTCCAAGGATGTTAGTGGAGATTCAATACGGCGGCGGTTTCTCGAATTCTTTGCCTCTCGTGGCCATAAGGTGCTTCCAAGTGCGTCTCTTGTGCCAGAAGATCCTACCGTCCTGCTAACAATTGCAGGAATGCTTCAGTTTAAGCCTATTTTCCTTGGAAAGGTATAAATACTATCCAATCCAAACATTACTGTTTTAGTAGCATTTACAGACTTGAAGATGTACATTGGTGGGACTTTTTAATATGTTGTAGGTACCTAGAGAGGTTCCTTGTGCAACCACTGCACAAAGGTGCATACGTACAAATGATTTGGAGAATGTTGGGAAAACAGCCAGGCACCATACCTTCTTTGAGATGCTTGGGAACTTTAGCTTTGGTGATTACTTCAAAAAGGAAGCGATAAGATGGGCATGGGAGCTGTCGACTATTGAGTTTGGGCTACCTGCTAATAGAGTTTGGGTTAGCATTTACGAAGACGATGATGAAGCTTTTGAAATCTGGAAAAATGAAGTTGGTGTGCCTGTTGAGCGGATAAAGAGAATGGGTGAAGCTGACAACTTTTGGACTAGTGGACCAACTGGTCCTTGTGGTCCATGCTCAGAGTTATACTATGACTTCTATCCTGAGAGAGGTTCTGATGATGATGTTGATCTTGGGGATGATACCAGATTTATTGAGTTCTATAATTTGGTTTTCATGCAGTATAACAAGACGGAAGATGGATTGCTTGAGCCCTTGAAACAGAAGAATATAGACACTGGTCTTGGTTTGGAACGTATAGCTCAAATCCTTCAGAAGGTTCCAAACAACTACGAGACAGATTTGATATATCCAATCATTGCGAAGATCTCAGAGTTGGCGAATATCTCATACGACTCTGCAAATGAAAAGGCAAAGACAAGTTTAAAAGTAATTGCAGATCACATACGGGCAGTTGTCTATCTCATATCAGACGGTGTTTCGCCTTCAAATATTGGCAGAGGTTATGTAGTAAGGAGGCTAATAAGAAGGGCAGTTCGGAAGGGGAAGTCTCTCGGAATAAATGAGTATAGAAATGGTAATCTAAAGGGAGCGTTTTTGCCAGCAGTTGCTGAAAAGGTGATAGAGTTGAGCACCTATATTGATTCTGATGTTAAACTAAAGGCCCCACGCATCATTGAGGAGATAAGGCAAGAGGAACTTCACTTTAAGAAAACTCTGGAAAGAGGAGAAAAGTTGCTTGACCAAAAGCTTAACGATGCCCTGTCAATAGCTGATAAAACTAAGAATACGCCTTATCTCGATGGAAAAGATGCGTTTCTTCTGTATGACACATACGGCTTCCCTGTGGAGATAACCGCAGAAGTTGCTGAAGAACGTGGAGTCAGTATAGATATGAAAGGTTTTGAAGTAGAAATGGAGAATCAAAGACGTCAATCTCAAGCTGCTCACAATGTTGTAAAACTGACAGTTGAAGACGATGCTGATATCACTAAAAATATTGCAGACACTGAGTTCCTTGGATATGACAGTCTCTCTGCTCGTGCTGTTGTTAAAAGTCTTTTGGTGGATGGGAAGCCTGTGATAAAGGTGTCTGAAGGCAGTAAAGTAGAGATTCTGCTTGACAGAACTCCGTTCTATGCTGAATCAGGAGGTCAAATTGCAGATCATGGTTTTCTTTATGTTAACAGTGATGGGAACCAAGAGAATGCTGTTGTTGAGGTAAGTGATGTGCAGAAGTCTCTTAAAATTTTTGTTCACAAGGGCACTGTAAAAAGTGGAGCTCTAGAAGTTGGCAAAGAGGTGGAAGCAGCAGTAGATGCAGACTTGAGGCAACGAGCAAAGGTAGGTTTGAATGTCATTTTACATCCCAATATCCCAACTGCTAACCGCCTCTTTCCTTTTCAAATTCTTGATCTTTTTTGTCAACTTTCCAGGTTCACCATACAGCCACCCATTTGCTGCAATCGGCACTTAAGAAAGTAGTAGGACAAGAAACATCTCAGGCTGGGTCACTAGTAGCTTTTGACCGCCTGAGATTCGATTTCAATATTAATCGGTCCCTGCATGATAACGAGCTCAAGGAAATCGAACGCCTGATCAATAGGTGGATTGGGGATGCTACACGTCTTGAAACAAAAGTCCTTCCTCTTGCTGATGCAAAACGAGCTGGAGCCATCGCAATGTTTGGGGAAAAATATGATGAAAACGAGGTAAGAGAGATGTCACTATTAACAATTTAAAGATTGTATAAAGTGCTACAGTTTGGTTATAAGTTGATTTTGGCTTGACTAAGAGGACCCTTACATTAATCGCAGGTTCGTGTAGTAGAAGTCCCTGGTGTCTCCATGGAACTTTGTGGTGGCACTCATGTTGGCAATACTGCAGAAATCCGAGCCTTCAAAATTATCTCAGAACAGGGCATTGCATCTGGAATCAGGCGTATCGAAGCGGTTGCAGGTGAAGCATTCATTGAATACATAAACTCACGGGATTCTCAAATGACACGTCTATGCTCGACTCTCAAGGTATTCTGCTTTTCCTTTCCATGTTTGAATGCGTGTGTAACTGAAAAAAAAAAACAAGCTACCCATTTGCTGCTTTCAAGGTAGTGGTTACTTATGACGACCAATTGTTGTTTGGTTTAATCTGAAGGTGAAAGCAGAGAAGGTTATAGAGACAGTGGAGAATCTTCTAAAGGAACTGCGTGCAGCTAAAAAAGAAGCCTCCGACTTGCGTTCAAAAGCAGCGGTCTATAAAGCATCTGTCATATCGAAGAATGCATTTACTGTGGGAACTTCACAGACGATAAGGTAATCTATTGTTTCCTGCTTAAAATGGTTGTTATGATAATATGTTCAGAAGAATTGATGCATGATCTAACACTATAATTTCAACTAAGTGTCTTCCTGTGAATGTTTAATTCCTTCAGAGTGCTCGTCGACTCTATGGATGACACCGATGCTGACTCATTAAAGAGTGCAGCTGAGCATTTGATAAGCACGTTGGAAGATCCAGTGGCTGTGGTATTAGGATCATCTCCAGAGAAAGACAAGGTTAGTTTAGTTGCTGCATTTAGTCCTGGAGTAGTCTCTCTAGGAGTTCAAGCAGGGAAATTCATTGGCCCCATAGCTAAGCTGTGTGGTGGAGGAGGTGGTGGAAAACCCAATTTTGCTCAGGCAGGCGGCAGAAAGCCTGAAAATCTCCCAAGTGCCTTAGAGAAAGCTCGGGAAGATCTCGTGGCAACTCTATCCGAAAAGGTAGGGTGAAGCACAACTTCAAAAGTGAACTGCATGTACAGAGAGAAGGAAGAGCACATTACTTGATTCTGGAAAAGTGAATTGCATGTATAGATGGATATTAAAGATATTTGATATTTGATGGATATTAAAGTTAATTGGTTTGTGAACATTTCTTTCAATGTGACTAATTGCTTCGAGTTACTTAATGAACGTCGTCTCAATGGTTTTTGATGTATTACAAAATGTGAATTTGTGGTGTTGTGTATATTTAACAAGCATTATAGCAAGTTATGAAGTGAATGTCATGCTTTCAATGCACGTAAAGATTGTTGGCAATTGATTGGCTGTGTTGGATTGTGTCACCAGAGTTTCGGTTTTTTTTTTTTTAATTCAGGGTCCGGTGCAATTTCAGATTGCATTAATATTATTCTTTTTGGTACAAATCGGATTAAAAAGGGCAAAAACTTAAAAAAGATAATACTATCAACAATGTACTTTTGTTTACAAATTAATATTGGAAAATAATTTGTATACGTCCTTTTCAATCATATTAGAGGATTATCGAGATCGAGAAAAGTTTGTTAGAGAGTAAAAGCAACAAACTCATTCTCATTAATTATTAAACCAAAATGTTTACAATATCCTCTCTTATAAAGTATGAGAGTAAACCAAACATTAAACCAATACAACGGTTGACATAAACCGATTTTATTTGATTCTCTACTCTAATAAATCACTTGTGAATACAAAAGCGACTATCGTTTCATCATAAAAATATGTGTATGTAAGCAAACAGTGAAATAAGACATAAAGTTAAGCAATGAAAGACACAAAGAAGGAAGAAGTAAACAAGTTAAGCAAAACAATTATAGAATGAAGCAAGGAAACAAGTTAAGCATGTAAGCAAACAGTGAAATAAGAAAGGAATCAAAGAAGCAAAGAAGCACGCAAGTTAGGAAATGAATGAAGCAATTGAGTAAGCAAAGATCAAAGAAACAAAGCAGGAAGCATGTAAACAAGCAGTAAAAGAAACAAGCAACCAAGTTAAGCAATGAAATAAGCACAATAAAAAAAGAAGAGAACCAGTAAAACAAGTTAGCGATGTAAATAAAGAAGCAAGCAATGAACTAAGAAGCAAAATATACATGAATGTATGTATGTATGTATGTATGTATGTATGCATGTATGTATGTATGTATGAATGTATGCATGTATGTATAATGTATGCATATGTATGCAAACATGAATATATGCATGTGTACATGAATGGATGCATACATGCAATGTGTGCAATGTGTTGGGATATCAAGCTGTCAAAGGAAAGACAACATTGTTAAAGTAATTGGTATATACCTGTTTTACTCACCGCGCACATAACTTCTTTTGGTTCACAAAGTTCGTTGGCTATGAAATCTGCTACAGAATAAAATAAAAGAGACGATAAATTCAAGTGATAAGAGAAGAAACAAAATACTACTCAGCTGAAACAGATTAAAGACATACCTGGGATAATGATTGAACTTAAGAAGCTAGAAGGTAAGGTAGAGATCAAAACCAAGACCTCCAAGACCATCAATACTCTAGCACTCAGAAACTTCTATTTTCTTTTGAATGTCGTGATTTATATGTTAGAGCCAGCTGCATATTTTGTCTCCGTAAGTTTTGATCTAAGATGAACCAAGAGAAGATAAGATGTAAGGCATAACACAGATATCTTTTGTGTTTTTCAGGAGTTTCATATGTTCCTTAGGCTTCCCGGACTTGACAGCATTCTTAAGCCAATATCTCAACCCTGAACAACTGAAACCAACAAATGAAATATTTAGATAAAAACTAGAATACCTTGTATAACTCTTGGAATGATCATAGATTATCATCCTTGTCTTTCCAGGAATGTTCTTCCTCGATTAGATTAGTTTACAGAGAAACAGCTACCTTAGAAGTTCTTCCACATCGAACTCTTGTTCAAAGAGCTGATCTTGTTTTGTGTCAAGGGGTTCATCGTCTGACTCATCCACTTCAAGAAGACTCTGGTTCTGAATATACTTGAATCTGTAACATACTAACATGGCACCAAAAAGTCGATCGAATAGATAGATCCAAAGGCATAGCAAGCCAAAATTATGCTAAAATGTGTATATAACAACCAACCTCAAAGCGATGCCTTAGGTTTCGAAAAAGAGGAAGCCTTGCTTGGCCATGCGACTCCGCATCCATATAGTCCCATCATTGTCCTCATCCAAAATATCTTCCACCTACTAGTCCAAGAAAACAGAAACCAAGAACATCAGTACTTGAGCACTCACAAACTTCTATGAGAGCATTTTTCAATTGAGTTCGAAAGGTACTTTGATGAAGTTTCTTTTGAATGTTGAGATCTATTTATGTTAGAGCCAGCTGCATATATTTTCTTTTTACGTTCCTTGTTCTGAGATGAACCAAGAGATGATACGGAAATCTAGACAACTTTGAACATTGTAAGCAAACCTTTCTTGTTTCTCAGGAGTTTCATATGTTTCTTTAGGCTTCCCAGACTTGACAGCCTTCTTCATGCCACACTTCTTGATGAGCATCTCCAGCCAAAGCCTCACCTATAATACTGACACGACTCTTCAAAAGGACAAGAATCCACATAAACAAAGCCTAATACAGATATTTACAACTAGTATGTATGTTTACGGCTAAACGATAAATTTTTACTCTCAACATTTGTAATTGTACGTCTGCATGTGTGAGAGAAAGAAAAGTTGTGGAAACGTGAAATTAAATTCTAGGTACCAAAGATGTTAGTTACAGACCTTTGCTTTGAAAAGATTTTTGTTTTCTTCTGGCAACTTCAGTAAACCGACCATGTTCTTTAAGTTTTCATGTAGTTCTTCGCGTGGTTTTAGGCCACAAACACCTTCAACAAACATAAATATGCAGGTTTTTAAAAATAGATTGGTTGTAGATTTCAAAAAAAAGGAAAACCATTCACGAGTCTCGTTGATAAACAAGCGAGACAAATGGCTAATTCGTAGCAACATTAAGTCGTATCCTCGTTGAAAGGGAAGACCACTAACTTTTGTAATTTCCTTGTTTTTCCTCTGAAGGAGAAGCAATGTTGAAAGAAGCCTTGATATGGCCATATCATCTTTCCATCAAGGCAACCAACCACCTGTTACAATTATAGCAGAGGTCAAAAATCAATCTTGACTCAAGAAAGAAAAACAAAGATCCTGTAAAAAATCTTACAGTGACTTGTTAGGATTGAATTAAACATACCTTATTGAAGTACCTACGTAATTTCTCATTGTCTCCACCATTTTCTTCATTTGCATATGCATGATCAATCTGAACAAGCACGTCATAAGCTCAATATCTTTTCTATTTACTTACCTGTAGAAACAGCAGCAAACTGAATATTCTTACACAATTATATTTTGACACAAAACAGTTTCAAGGTGCTTTTGGTAAAGAACCATCACGATCTAGGAGGACCGTTTTCCTAAAAATAAGCCAAATGGTATTTGATTAGTTCTCATATATTGACCCGTCTGCCAAATAGAACCTTTTTTGTTTTTCAGACACACTCAAACACATATACTATAATAGCAAAATCGAAAGACTACTGCAAAAAAAAATTGGAGCAACATACTCGGGAGAAGGAGTCAACCTAAGAAACGATATACGCTAATTATGTCTGAAGTCATTTGCGGTAGACCTGAAAGAAGCATCACGATGCCTGAGAAGTACGCAACATTATGAGTTTCTGATTTGCGAACACAAGAGAAACTTACAGCATATTATATAAGTTCAACCCATCAAAACAAAAGACCCTATAAGTTCTCATCGAATTACCATGCAAAAGATTTGATGTTTTCAACAAGTATTTTCTCTAGAATTACCTCTCTTATGTTTCTTAGCCACGGATTGGAGTGCTTTAAGCTGCAAAATCCAAAACGATATACAATTGAAATAATGTACCATCAGTGCAAATCTATACAAGATGACCCACCAAGTCATCCGTACGATTAAAAATGAAACTGAAAACATACAATTGGGAGTTCGTGGCTGGCTGATCTTCTTGTTATAATCGAAGATGAAGTTCTTCTAGAAACCTCTGGCACTGCTTTGGCCATGTGACTCTGTATTCATATAGTGAATAATCATGAGATCATTAAAATAAAAACATACAAGTGGGAGTTCGTGGCTGGTTGATCGTCTTGTTATAATCGAAGATGAAGTTCTTCTAGAAACCTCTGGCACTGCTTTGGCCATGTGACTCCGTATTCATATAGTCCCCATCTTTTTCCTCGTCCCCATCCAAAATATCTTCCACATACTAGTCCTGGAAAACAGAAATCAAGAACATCAGGATTTAAGCACTCAGATACTTCTATGAGAGCATTTGTCAACTTAGTTGGAAAGGTACTTTAATGAAGTTTCTTTTGAATGTTGCGATCTACTTATGTTAGAGCCAGCTAAATATAGTGTCTCCTTACGATCCTTGATCTGAGATAAACCAAGAGAAGATGTGAGTTAACACAAATACTGAAATCTAAACAACTTTGAACATTGTAAGAAAACCTTTCGTGTTTTTTCAGGAGTTTCATCTTTTCCTCAGACTTCACAAACCATATTTGGTTATAAGCATCTCCAACCGAAGCCTCACCTCTAAAACCAACCTGAATCTGAAAGAAGGACAAGAATCCGCAAAAACAAATCTTAAAATATATGTTTACAACTAATATGTATGTTTACGGTAACACAATAAAGTTAATGTACTAGCAAGAACTCAACATTTACTTGTTTGAGAGAACGTAAAGGTTCGGAAATATGAAATTTAAATTCGAGGCACCAAATACTGCGTTTATAAAACAGGTATTAGCGCTAACCTTTGCTTTGAAAAGGTTATTCCATTCCTTCGAGCAACTTCGGCAAGATTTCGACCATGCACTTTATGTTTGCCAACATTCCTTCTGGCTCTATCACTTGAGCTTTCCAATACACGTCTTTAGCTGCTGTATAGTCCCTTAGTTGCATATAAGCCCATCCAAAGTTCCCCTGTAACACCACATTTATTTAAATCCATTAGCTTAATGATCAATAGTCTTCAGAAATCTAATCAAAACTCAAAACTAAAGACTAGTGAGATTAATCTTACCAATATCCTAGTGGTTTTCTTCTCGACCGTGACCATAAATTTCTTGCCATGAGATCTCGCAGTATTTGTTGGTTTAACCTTGGTTATTCTTGGCATCCAAATCTACATCAGATATATCCTTCACGAATGATTAGAAGTCCTTCCACATCAAACTCTTGTTCAAAGAGGTTGATCATCTAACTCATTTGCAAACCTCACTTGTTCAAAGTGGTTCATCATCTGACTCATCAACTTCAAGAAGACTCTGGTTCTGAATATACTTGAATCTGTAATATGACACCAAAACGTTGATCGAATAGATAACAACCATAGATAGATCCAAATGCATAATAAGCCAAGACTATGCCAAAATGTGTATATAACAACCAACCTCAAAGCGATGCATTATATATTGGAAAAGAGGAAGTGTTGCTATGGCCCTGCGACTCCGCATCCATATAGTCTCCATCGTTTTCCTCATCCAAAATATCTTCCATTGACTAGTCCTGGAAAACAAAAAACCAAGAACATCAATACTTGAGCACTCAGAAACTTCTATGAGAGAACTTGTCAAACGAGTTGGAAAGGTACTTTAATGAAGTTTCTTTGAATGTTCCGATCTAAGATGAGCCATGAGAGATGTAGGTTAACAAAAATACTGAAATCTAGAAAACTTTGAACATTGTAAGCAAACCTTTCATGTGTTTTCAAGATTTTCATCTGTTTCTCAGGCTTAGGCTTTGCAGAGTTGACAATCTTCATGCCACGTTTCTTGATAAGCATCTCCAACCGAAGCCTCAAATAATACCAACCTGACTCCGAAAAACGGACAATAATCCGTAGAAACAAATCTTAATATATATATTACAATTAGTACGTATGTTTGTTGAAACGTAATAAACTTAATTTACTAGCAGGATCTCAACATAGACAAGATAAAGTCGCGAAAATATGAAATTTAGATTTGAGACACCAAAGATGCATCTTGGGCATACTGCGTTTATAAAACTGTATTTTATAAACCTTTGCTTTGAAAAGGTTTTTCTCCATTCCTTCTAGCCACTTCAGTAAGACTTCGACCATGCACTTAATGTTTGCCAACTTTTTACACGCCTTGTTTGCATCTGGCTCTATCACTTGAGTTTTCTGATACACGGCTTCAGCTGTTGTAACATCACATTTAAATCCATCAGTTCATTGACCAAGAGAATTCAGAAATCTAATCAAAACTAAAAACTAGTGAGATTAATCTTACCAAGATCCCAGAGGTTTCCTTCTCGACCGTGACCTAAAATATCCTGCCATGAGATCTCGTAGTCTTTGTTGGTTTCCCATTGAATGCTTTTCCTTGATATATCATCCAAAAGTTTTGCTTAAATATCTTAACTTACTTCAGCTCTTCCACATTGCTGCTCAAAATTTCGATCTAATTTTGTCAATTCTACAATTAATAACAATAACTGAGAGAAACAAGAGAATAGTCTTGGTTAGAGTTTACTTACGTAATAGAGATCGATGAGTACATTAATGATTCACGAGCTTGTCTCAGCCACCAACACCTTCAACAAAACAGATTGTTGTTGTTGTTTTCAGAAAAAAAGAAAAGAAAAAAACTCATTGAGTCTTAAGAGTTATAAAACTTACAAGTGGGAGTTCATTGTTGGCGGAATGTATTGTTTAACTCCAACATGAAAATCTTCTAGAAACTTCTGGCACTGCACATTGAATCTTAAAAATGAAAGTTAAGAGAGAATCAAATAAACCTTGTCTAGCTTAGTTTATTTGGTCTGACAAGTTAAGACAGTTATAACTTAGCTTATTGGTTTCTCTGAAGGACTTTGAAATAGTCCTAGAAGAATCTAAAACAAAACACAAATCTGATAAACTGAGACATTTTATGAACAAATAAGCAAGCAAGTTAAGGATAGAAAATAAGGAAAAGAAATTCAAGTAGTTAAGGAAAAGACCGTATGTGAGAAATTAAGCACGTAAGCAAGGAATCAAGTTAAGCATGTAAGCAAGAAAGTAAGGAAGCAAGGAAACAAAGAAGTAAGTAAACAAGGAATCAAGGAAGCAAGCAAGCTCACAAGAGAGTAAACAACAAACCATTGAAGCTGGTAATTAAACAAGGAATGGAGAAATAAAAGGAGTATAGCAAAGAATCAGACAAAGAATTAAGGAAGCAAGCAAGCTCACAAAGAAGTAAACAACAAATCTCTGAAGTTGGTAACAAAACAAGGAATGAAGAAGTAAAAGGAGTAAAGCAAGCAAACAATCAGACAAAGAATTAAGGAATCAAGTAAGTAAACAACGACTCAAAGAAACAGAGAAGGAATTATGAATGTGTGCAATGTAGATTATGTATGCATTTATGTATGTATTTATGTATACATGTATGTATGTATGTATGTATGTATGCATGTGTGTGTATGAATGACTGCATGTATGTATGTGTATGCATTTGGTTGAGTGATTGAGAACAACCCATAAGAATTCTCTGGCTCTGCAATTTATTGTTGCAGAAGAAAAGCGACACAACATCAAACTCCTTCCAAAGGAGATAGAATCGTCAATTGCTTCCTACAAAAAAATTTGAGAAAATAGAGCATAAGATAACTGAGAAATTAACTCATATATATAGTCTTTTATGATCAAAATAAATGAGTAAGTCAACACTAAAGATTCTTTCACTTATCTAATTTACAACCAAGCCCGATCTGATGAACATAACACAGATAATGTAGAACTTTCTTGTAAAATTTTCTATCACCATTTGGATAACTATAAGCAAGTTTCAATACAACTGTAGAATAAAAAAAATCTAAACATATGAATGAAAACAACAAACCTGTAAAATTACGAGTGGCAATGACAATCCTTTTCATCGAGAACACAAAAGTGAAATCTGATCTCCATTGCTCTTAAGTCTTAATAGAAACCCAATTCACTGAGAGACAAAGAAAACACTATGAGTTTCCACAACAAGACTGATTTCTAAAAGCTTCGTTATCAACCAAAGACACAACAAATTATGAAAAGGTAGAGCAAAAATTGATCGGATCGGATCAGATGGTAATAACTTTCAAAATCAAATTTATTGGGTTCGTAGAGTTATACATCATAAATTTGAAACGGTGGAATTAAAAACATCATAAATTCGATTGAAAAAGAAACACAAACCTCCGTCACCGCCTCTGTAACCGCCCTCACGGCTGCCAGCCACCACTACGCCACCAGATCTCTCATGGCGGCTAAGACCACCACAGCCTCTTCTTTGAAGGTCGCGAATCATAATCCTCTCGATCTCCCAGATTTGCGATCGCTAGTGATTTGTAAAACCCAAACCAAACAAATCACAAATCAAAAGGTATTGAAAAAGCAATGAAATGAAATGACAAACCAATCGATCGCTCATAAAATCAGGAAGATTAACGTAACGATAAGACAAATTAAGTAACAAAGAATGAGAGAGATAGTAACAGTAAATCGAATCAAGTAGCAGAGAAACACAAATCGGAAACAGATCCAGAATCACTGGAATTGACTCAACCTTTGAATCGATAACCTGAGAGAACGCCCTTTCTAGATTCTAGTAGGCGGTGGCTTAAGCAAGGTCGCCGGGAAAGTACTGCTGCTTAAAATTTACAGTCATTTTTTTGGGAAAGGAGAAGTTAGGGTTTCAAAATTATGAGAGAGATCGGAGAGGGATTTGTAGACGATCGTCTTCTAACGGACTATTTAACTCTGCTTTGTTTTCGTTATATAAAATAATTCCAATTTCAAGAAAACGAAAATGCCGCCCATTTAGAAAATAGAAATTTGAATTTCATTTTTGTACACGTCACGATTGTAATGTGCGAAATGTTTACCGTAAACAAAAAGTAATCCGAGATTAGTAACGGCCTGACATAGGCCTGGGCATAAAACCCGAAATCCGAAAACCGATCCGAAACCGATCCAAAAAATCCGGAACCGAAACCAAACCGAATAGTCACAAAATCCGAACGGATAATGAATTCTTCTATCCGAATTACCCGAACCGAACCCGATCCGAACCGAAAACCGAAAGGATATCCGAAAACCGGAAATAAAAATTATATATCCAAAAATATTAGTTATATTTAGTTGTAATTTTATAGCAAATAACAAAAATATCCTAAATATCCTAGATTTGGGAAAAATTTTAGTTATATTTGTTAAAATTATACATATTTTTGCAAAATTTAACCAAATTTTAGTAAGATTAAACCAATTTTTATTAAGATTGAACTATTTTAAAGTTTTTTTTCCCGAAAACCGATCCGAATCCGACACCTATCCGAACCGAAACCGAACCGATGACTCATAAAATCCGAACGGATAATAAATTCTCCTACCCAAATTATCCGAATCTGAATATATCCGAACCGAAACCGAACCGAAAAATCATAAAATCCGAACGGATAATAAACTTTCATACCCGAATTATCCGAATCCGAATATATCCGATCTGAATCCGATTTGAAATCCGAATGCTCAGGCCTAGCCTGACATGTTTTTGGTTAAAGCTTAACCATGATGTAATGTGTCATGATATTTTAGATTGGCTCGGTTTGGTTCTAATCGTTTTTTTTTTTTGGTGAGTTGGTTCTAATCGTATTTTGGCTATGCGGTGAGTGTCATAGTATTATTTTCTTTACAGAATTACAATTATAGTAGAAATGTCATGGTATTTTTAATTTTAATATCAATGAATTATTTTACAGTTTTTACCATGTCAAATTTGGGATAATCATATATCTGCCAATCACCTAATAATCCCAACTTAACAAATAGAATATGTGCCTTAGTGCCTAAACTTGTTTTAATGGAAACATGCAAAACGAGTTATCTTATTTATGAAAGTCAGTAAAAATATTATTAAACATGGAAATATCCTACTTTAGTATATATATATAAGTATATAACTAGATTAAGACCGTCATATGCGGGTTTTAATTTTATTTTTTTTAAAACAAACAAAAATTTAACAAAAATCTATATTAAAATTTTGTTGTAAGTAAAAACTATCTTTACGAAGTCACTAGCAACCCTAATAGTTATAAGAAAATTTATGTATATAACTTTGTTTTTACCTTAATATACTAATTTATATTTCTATATTAAAAAAATTGTAACGTTTATTGTAATAGTAATGTCAAATTATCAATCACCAAAGTTTCTGCCAAATATTCATCATTATAATTATTGTTGAATCTGTCACAATTCTCATCTAAAATATATGATTATACAATTTTTCAGGACATGTTTTGGATGCAAACCATCGGTCAAACTTTCATTTTATTTACATTCATTTACAAATATATTATCTACACTACCACGTGTAGATGTCGGATTCACACACTCAAGTATTTTTATTAATAGAAACGATTATTCTTGAGGGACAAAAAATAAGAATGTAAAAGGTTTATCAATTGCTACAAAAATTGCTATAGTATTTCTTGCTCTCGAGACCGATCCCCCTTACATGCCTTTATATTTATACATAGAGAAACGACATTAAAATAAATAATTAAGTACAATTATTCTCTCTTAAATGTGTCCGTTTTGATCCTTGACTTTAATGATCAACGTTTGAATTTGACTTGACTCTGATCTTTATGGGCCTCGCCTTTTGGCCCAAATGTCCTTAGGATCGACTTAACCATGACTTTGTCTCCAGACTCGTTTCGAGGTGCAATCACTTCGGATTCTCTTTATGTTGACAACCACCCCGACTGTTCTTTTGACTTGTGGATCTAATGGGCTTTATTCTTTATCGGCCGTTATCCTGTCTACGTGGCAATTTTTGGTTGGTCCTGGACCTCTGGTGCGGGATCCGACACCAACAATTAGCCCCCCAAGTTCTTCGAAGTGCCATTCCAATTCGGAGGACTTTAAATGCTTAAATGACCAAAGATTGCGCTCGAGAATCTTTCTGATTTCCCGCCGAAAATCTCATCATTCCTTTAATTTCGGCAGTAGCCATTTTTAACCGAGTGACATCTGTCATCATTATGACCGTATATTAATTATTTACTATTAAAACGGGAAAAACCTTCCCATTTCCCACACAACTTCCGAGGCGGTTTCATCATTTAGTTTGTGTGAGGTAACTTCTTTTCACCATCATTTTCTTCTTTTACTTTTGTGCTTTAATCAAAACTTCTCTCTACTTTTCTTCGCCGAAACTCTCTTCGCCGAACCTTGAATCTTTCATTTTCCTCCGATGACTTCCGATTCTGAGAGACCTGAATCTCCGTCTTACGATGAGAGGCGTTCTAGTAATGACGAATGCACTCGTCCTAACGATATCGCCGGTCCTCATTACAAATCCACCTGCACTCTTCAATCCCTTGAGCGATTAAAGGGGCTTTGTCAAATTCCTCCTGGAATCATAGCGGAGGCACAAATAGCCGATCCTACGGAATCCCCGAAGAACCACCGTGACGGCTAATTTTGTGTTTACGAAATTTACTTCAAGGATTGCGGATTGACCTTCCCTCTTCCCGAAGCCCTAATTCGATTCTTGGCGGCTCTTGAGATTGCTTTACCTCAACTAACCCCCAATCTCCTCCGAACCATCCTCGGGATTATAACCGTGTCGGCAGAGGCTGGCTACATCATTGGAGTCCCCGAGCTGAATGAACTCCTAAGCGTAAGGAGTTCATCAAAGAAAACTGGGTACTTCTCGGCGTATCCAAATGCCAACAGAAACGTCATTTCGCACCTTCCGAACAAGGATGAAAACTGGCACCATCCTTGATTCCTGATTAAGAAAACTCCCGCTTCAATTGGAAATCTTTCCGATGTACTTCCATCGAAGTGGTCTGCGAAGCCTGGTAGAAATTAGATCGTATATTCCTTCCTTGGTTGTTTTATTTTTTACTGACCAAACTCGTTGTTTTCACTTCGCAGCCGTCATCGCTTCGACTCTTCCGTCTGAAGAATTCGTCAAGTTCTTCAAAACAATCCTTGAAGGGGAAACCCTTTGGAACTCTTTCACCCTTGATCGGTTCGTTGAGGCCAACCGAAAACTCAGGATGAGTCCTCCCAATCTACTTCATCGTCTTCCGCCTCCTCCCTCAACTCAGGGAATGTAAGCTCGGGCCCTTACTGCCCAGCGTAAGAAACTCTCCAAGCCGATAGCAGAGGCTTGTGATGAAAATAAGGCGTTCCTTACGGCCGCCATTGACAAAAAAGACTACAGCAGGACCCTGCTGGTAGATGACAACAGCTCCGAGGGAGCCAGATCCGTTGCTGCTTATAGGTTAACACCTCGCCGCGAACGTCATGACGAACGTTCTCCTCGGAGAGAGCGATCTCCTTGTCATGATTCTCCTCGTCCTCCCCGAGACGATTTTAGCAGCGAACCACTTAA